CAGGGGGGAAAATAAATAAAACTGTAAAGGCACCATTAGTATCCGCAATTCCCAAAGTGGTTTCTACACATGGAGTATAACCGGCTCAAGTAAGAAAACCAAACTAATATCCCTTAACCGAAATAATTATTATTATTACATAAATTAATTTGGCTCCCATCTCCCTAAATCGGTTCAGTGGCACCATTAAGATTTAAGAATAGTCTTAACCCACAAAATTCTGTAACCGAAGGATAAAATAATTACACTATGAACATACATTGCCAATGCAACAAAACCTGATTAACCCAACGAAAAGCTTTCATCACTTATCAGTTCCTGAGCTTTACGGAAGTTAATTAATTATTATATTAAGCCATCAATTTCCGTAACCGGCACTAAAATTATCAATATGATAATTTCCAACTTTACCGTAAGAAAAAAGGTTTACTAAAAGTAATAATCATCAACATTATTATAATAATATCAATCGGCGGAAAAATGTCTCTTTTCACCGAGAGATTATAAATATATAATAATATATAGAGCATTCCCTTTAATTGTTTCCGTAAGTTGAACAAACATGTAGCTATGGATCTATTAAACTCCACTAATGTATATATCCAAAGCTCCGTAACTGAAATAAACACTAAATTAATCCCACTTACTGTGGGAAATAATAATGCAAACTGTCCCATAACTGGCCATTGATCGTATTTTAACGATAGGGAATAATAAATTAACCCCACTTAATTCCCCATAACCGCAACCGGAGAGTAAAACCAAACAATTCCAAACGTAAAAAAATAATAATAATAACAACCGGAAAACGTTTGGAAGTCTCCGATCAAGACAACCGGAGTAAAAAAAATTGGCCGGATTTCAGAAACAGCTTCTCCCAGTCGCAGGAAGAAAAAAAATGAACAACAACAATTGCATTCATGAAATCTAGCACTGCATTTTGGGAAGAGCTAAATAGTAGCAATAGCATGCAGTATAGACTAAAACAATTAACTAATTTTTCTGGATTCATGCACGAAACCGAAGCATAAGAAAGTAGAACGAGACTGTAATCATGCATTGAGCATACCAAAAAGAATTCCAAGGAGGAACCATAGAACCAAGATGCGAACCCCAATAATCAAACAAATATGATAAGCTCTGATACCACTTGTTAGAATTTACTTTATTCTATGTAATTCCCTGGAACACATCTCGTCAGATTATCAAAGGTTCGTAGAAATACCTGGAACTGTGTTGTTGATCGCCAAGAGCTTGATGCGGAATCTGGAAGACGATCTACAGCCGGACGATACTTCTTGGAGCACGATCCGGGAGGTTTTGTGATCTTCCTCAACCAAGCCTCCTTAGACCACTAACGGGAATCCTCTGATCTTCCTGATGGGGAGAAGAAGAGAGTGTTTCGTCTTGGTGTCTTGGGGACCACAACCTCTAGATTCTTTTATATACTATGTTTAGCTAGGGTTCCCATAAAACCCTAATTAGGTTTAGTATCTGGTTTCCACTCATTGGGCCCATATTGGGTTTAAGCAGTCATGGGCTTGACAAAATTGATCACTTAAAATAGCCCATCAAAATCAAATACCCCATACAATGTTTGTGAATTGATAGTCCACTTAAGATAGGAATAAAATTCCTAACAGATAAACCAAAGGTTTGAAACAAAAAAAAATACCATACTGTGTAGAGTTAGGGCAGATTAAAGGGCATCTTGCACTTGCCGATAAAAAGCTGAGAAAGTTTCCTACTAATTGACCCCTATTATCTCTATCACGATTTAGCTAAAAGGTTTCATTATCATGTTTATTTGGGGCCCTTTACCCTACTAATTAAGTTTTCCATAAAACGCCATCTTAGTAAAAATACTCTACTGATAAAGCTATGTAGAGAACAACTGAAATGTATAAGTAGCAATCCTAAGGGCATGTTCACTTTCATTTTTGTTGTTTTCGAAAACAGCAGGAAGCTGTCACTTTTTGTTTTCAGAATTGGAAACGAATAGAAAATAGAATGAAAAGTAAACAGGTTTTCTCATTTCAGTTGTCAAATTTATGACATGAAAACAAAAAAACAGGAAACGAAAATGAAAGTGAACATAGTGTTAAAGATTCATTATGCTTTAAGCCAACAAACTAATGAAAACAACTAAGCTTCTAAACGACTGCCCATTCACAAACATACTATTCTGGAAAAAAGAATACTTAAAATAAGAATCACAACGTGGCCCTCCACTGCACAAATTTCCCAGCAATACTACGGCACTTCCTTGGGGTCACAGTCATGCATCCTCCCTGTTTTCTTTTCTGCCCTATAAAGTTGTCTCTCCAAGAACCTCGGGATTTGGCTTAGTCTTGCTGGCTTCCTCCAAGATAGGAGTTGCACTCGTGTGGAGTTGACTTGTTGTCTCACTCAATTGCTGAAATCAAATTACAGCAATAAGATAAATTGAAATGATGGAGATCAATATGGTACCCTCTTCTACCGTATGAATGGATGTGCAGATGCATGCTGAATTGCTGATATATTCATCACTTATCCCAAGTGGATCATGCTCCTCCACATTCACCATAGAATGCTCAGTTGGAGAGTTCAAGAAGTTACATTGAGTAAGTTTAACATGTAATTTCAGTCTCATGTTCACTACCTGCTGGATTTGTAGTAGAATGGGTTCTTTCTTCCTCTGATTTGCTTTGAAAATACACCAGCCATTACGGCAAAGAAACACAGGCCTTCACACACCAAATTGAAAAATATGCTTCACCAGAATAGACTTTCAAATGGAGTTTCACTCTGGACCTAAAGCCAACATGGAGTCAAACTGAAAATGTCATGATTCTGCATCCCTACTCCTCCATATCACCTAATATTGTGATTCCTCTTACATTGAAACAACAAAATTGCATACTGCAGGAAAACAAAATGAAGTTATCAGCTTACTTTGCTTTTGCAATTGAAGATGTTGTGCCTGCATATGTTTCATACAATCTTAACACAACATCAAAGGGATATACAGAATGAGCATATTACATCGACTGAGAGTGCTCGAAATAGATGCCACGTTTTATTCTGGCTAGTAGAAGTATCAACACGATAACGCTTGGGGGCATTACTGCATCGATCAAGACCCAAGAACAAGCCCAACAACAAAGCTAACAAATCAGTCAGGGAAATTTATTCTTCAACAAACTGTGGCTCCGAGCGCAATCCAGAAATTGGGTCTAAAGCCCGTCCAAAGCATATAAAATTAGTACGCCACTTTAGAACAAAACCAGCTACGCGTAATGTTACCAACTGAATTGAGCATCCATTAGAAAAGGAAAAATACATGGAAGAAAAGCGGCCCGGAAATCCCATCAAATTCCAAGAAGCCAAAATACAAAGAAACCAATATGAGGGAACTTACAGGAAAGGGGATATAGCTTTGATTAGGAAACTATGTGAGGTTTCTCAACTCTCCTCAGCGAGAGTGAGAGAGACGGGTTATCTGAGATGGGTTGGAATTCTTTGTCGTTGTAGAGAGACCACAGAGCGTGAAGGACGGATGTAGCGACATATTCACAGCATATGGGAGACACAGATTCGACATCAAAGCATATTGGCAACGAAACACTACGGCCCAAAGCAAGAAATATAGAGACGGCGACGCTGAGAGAATGAACAGTCTTCAATTGAGTGAGAGGTCTTCGATTACTATGTTCGGACAGCGAGTAAAGACTTTGATTTCCGGTAGGGCTCAGAAGAGAGAATGTGCAGGGACGGTGAGAGAGATAGGGGTAGGGATGGCAACAAAACCCGAACCCACGGGTATCCACCCGATCCAACCCGTGTTGACGGGTTTTGGGCCGGGTTCGGGTTTAAACCCGCTACACTATTTACCGGGTCGGGTTGGGTTTGGGTTTAGGTAAACCCGCCCCATGGGTACCCGCCCATACACATATAATTACTTTCCCGGTATATTTAATATTCTAAATAATATATCTTCCTTAAACAACTAATATTCTTTATGTTTTGTGGAGACATGTATAATTTGTTCTTTCTAATTGTTTAGAATGAAGTTGATATTATGAAGTGGAGAGTGAAGAAACTTAGTTGACGAGGAAGAAGCTTTCAATTAATCTTATTGTTTATAGATGTGTATCTTAAATAGGGTTATAGGTATAATATGCCTCTCTACTATGTCGTTTTATCGAACATGCCCTTCTACTATTTTTTACATCAAACATGCCCCTGTACTTAAGAAAAATGATCAAACATGCCCTTCTGTTAATATTTTCATCCAAAAACAGCCAACCACGGTCTTACCTTGGTTTGGGTGACACAAATGTCTAAAATATCCCTGGTAATTTCACTTTAGAATTTTTTGGGTTCTTTTGTAGAGCCAAATACCTCTAATAATTTCACTTTAACGAGACCTAGAAAAATAAAACGAGGGACAAAACTGACATTTTTCTTCTCATTTGCCGATGTCGGGTCGTCTACATCTCGGTTCAACCATGGCTGACAATTTTTTTAATGGAAATTTTAATAGAATGGCATGTTTGATAATTTTTCCAAAGTACAATGGCATATTTTATGTAAAAAATAGTAAAGGGGCATGTTTGATAAAACTACATAGTAAATGGGCATATTATACCTATAACCCTTAATTTTGAACAATTTGTATTGATCATTTGCGGTTTGCTTGTATGCTCTAGATTGGTGTTTTTTGTATGATTAATTTGTATGAGAAAATTAATGTTAAACTTTTATTTTGAAAGAAACTTGTGCGGCGGATTCAGGAGTGTCGTGTCTGACGTGACAAAAGCGGTATGTTGACATTGCCTTATAGTGTTTTGTAGACCACGTTCCAGAAAAGTTTAATTTGGAAAATAATACAAGTTTTTATTTGGTTATAATATTAATTTCTTTGCCTATTACGATTATAGTTAGTAATTAAATCTGCAAATCAACCGAAACGGCGCCGGCCTGTCGCTGTTCTAAATCGACCACAACTGAAACATCCCGCAGTGGATCAAGGCCGCCGCACCATAGAAAAGTCGGTAAACCACTGATATTTCTATCTTACACTTGTGTCCCTCAGTCAGTCTTGCTCCTTCTTAAACCCTAGCCGCTTGCTCAGTTCTAATCCTGATTCCTGAACCCTAAAACCCTCCACTCTCCGCTCTCTCAACTCGTCTTTTCTTCCTCCTTCAGGTAAGTCTTCTCATCTGGGTTTTTATTTCTCTCATGGATTCTGGTTTTCATGGTGCATCACTGGACATTATGTGTTATATGAGTTAGCCCTGATCTCCGAAAGGAGTCGCCTTTGTTTTGCCCGCTCAGGGATTTTAGGCTGTACCTTGATTGTATCTATGTTTTGTATTCAAAGATTGATCATCAGTATAATAATAAGCTGAATTCTGATCCAAGTTTTGATTTTGATCTCTCTTTGTTCTCCTGTGTTTTCGTTTTCTCCTCTTTGTGTAAAACAGGGTGGCAGGCATGGCGTTTTACAACAAATTGGGTAGCCTCTTGAGGCAGAGTGTTTCACAGAGCAGCTCTCTCCCTATGGGATCTATGATGAACTCGGCCCGTTTCATGTCTACCAACAAGCTCTTCATCGGAGGTAAATATAGAGTATGTTCTCTGGTGTGATTTTTCTTGAGCGTTAGAAGTATTCCTGTTGGTTCATGGATGTTGATACGATTGTCTTGGTTTTTGAATGTACTAGGCCTTTCCTATAGTACAGACGATCAATCTCTCAAGCAGGCCTTCGATGCCTATGGTGAAGTGGTCGAGGGTGAGTTTCCTCCTCTGCTCTGCCTTTGGTTTGCATGTCGTATTTTAGGTTTGCTTTTGATAGGGATGTTGTTCTACTTTGTGTTTCGGTAGGGATCTCCCCTTTTGCTTCTCATACTTGAGCTTTGATGTTATTCCTGATCTTGGTAGTACTAGTTTTGTGTTGTTTCTATGGGGCTAATTAGGACATATATTATCAGCTTGTTAAAACATTTTGCTGGTTATATGATAGAAGATGATATGATCCGAACTCTGAAACGCAATTTTCTGCCTCAATGTGTATCTTCATGGATGGTTGTTCCTTGTATGGCGATTAGATGCATCTCCTCTAATCCTGAAGTTAATGCCATCGTCTGATTTGTTATTTGTGGTAAACCAGCTAGAGTTATCACTGATAGGGATACTGGAAGGTCAAGAGGATTCGGGTTTGTGAACTTCACAGAAGCTGAAGCTGCTAACTCAGCAATGTCAGCCATGGATGGACAGGTCAGTCCGATAAGAAACCTGTTTCTTTCTCATGGATTTACTTCTGTGGTTGCCACAACATTTAAACTGATTGTTGTGTTGTGTTCTGTTTTGCTGCTGCGTTTTCAGGAGTTGCAAGGTCGCAACATACGAGTGAGTCTGGCCAACGAAAGGCCCAGTGCTCCGCGTGCTTACAATGACAGCTACCGTGGTGGTGGAGGTTATGGTGGTGGGGGCAGGGGAGGAGATTACTAGTCCTTTCTGCTTGCGTTGGAAATGACTCTTGTCGCAGCTCCTTGCCAATTCGGAGAGGCATTTCTCGTTTGAGGTGCTGAAAACTGTGGTTCTTTCCGACTTGAGTCGTGGATTTGTTTTCGTTAAGCACATGGAATGTGGTTGTCCCAATTTGTCTTATACTTTTAGTAGATTAGGGGCAGCAGGGGGGCTAAGTAAGTAGTAACTGTTTGCTGCTCACATGATGTCATCTCGTGTTAACGTCCTTTCCTGTGAAGGTGTGTGTTAATAAAGGTGAACTTAAATGTTGAATCTGCTGTCAGTTTAAAGCTCTCTGGTTAAATATGCGTCATACTGCCTATCTCTTCTCTCAATTCTCAGATGGCTCACTGTCAACTGTGCTTGAGGATATTCTATTCTGAGTAGAAGATGAAACTTCAATTGGATACAATAGGTCGGCCGATGGCAATCAACCATCATCGATCAAATAACACGTCAAACACTTGTGGGTTTGGGTGGATATTCCAATTTTTCACTTCCGAATCCCAGACGCGGTATCTTAAAGCTCAAAACGCTAACCCCTCATCCTTGTGGATAGGAATGGCAATTGGGCAGGTTTGGGGCGGGTATTTCGATACTTATATCCGTCCCGTGGCAGGTTGGATAATTTATCAATTATCATGGGTCGTAGGGCGGGAAAGGTCGACCTAATGAGTATGAAATTTATATGGAAAATATTATAAATATTCGTTATTTTCATTATAAGACCAAGAAAACAAATTATATTATCATCAATGTAGTTAAATTATTAGAGAAATTGGAGTTTTTATTAACTTACAAGTTGATTCTAGCTAAAATATGATGTAATAAAGGAAATTTTAAGTAATTTGACTAAGATTTAGGCAAAAACGGGTCGAAAATGGGGCCGATAAGGGTATTTCAGGTCGGTGAGAGTACCCATACCCGCCCAATCCCATCCCAAAACAAGCTAAACAAGTCGGATAAAATGGGTCAGGTCGAAATTGACATTCCTACTTGTGAATAAGATAAGGAGAGGATTATGAGGGGGAAAAACAGGTCGATTTTCATTCCTATGTCGGGTCACAGTGTTTACTAATGCTTTTTACTCGTATGTTGCTCATCAGAACTTTCTAGCGGATTCAGATTGTTCGAACTTTTTCATATCTTAAATCTTAAAATATATTAAAGCAATTTAAGAAAAAGACCCCATCCACGTAAGCTTCGTAGGCCTCCCCGCAATTTTCGGAATTAAGTTTTCTTTTTGCTTTTTTTTTATACTCCGTGTTTTCTTGCTGCGGTTTCATGTTTAAATTTATTAAATTAGGCATAAAAAACGGAAAAGTTATTCGTTAGTTATTTGGCTACGTTCAAATACAGATTTTTAGGAAATGTGTGGATTTTTAATTAGTTTTTGACGTTTGAAAATTTTAAAATAGTTACTTAAACAATTTTTTAACCAATTTTTTTTACCCTGATGTTTAATATACTCTCACATTAGTATTTGCTTATCTAAAATATACATCAATTTTTTAATGCAGAAATGTTATATATTTTAAGTGCATGTAAAATAAAAACTTTTGAAATCAACGAATTTGATTCGTCGAAATTATCAATGATTTTCATTTTAAGATTAAACAAACCTCATGGTTTGGGTTAGACAATTAGGGATTGGGGTCAACCATTATAAGTTAGGGTATAGCATCATGTCCCAAACTCCGATTAATTCATTATCTAAATAGCAAAACTCAATGGAGCGTACGGTAGATTAGCGTACTCCCGAACGTACGCTAGCCTAGACTATATATGTGTGTGTGAATGTGCAATGGTTTGGTCTGTATCGTACAACACCGGACAATTACCGGATTGTACCGGATGGTTGTGGTCGCATTCTTAATCCTATTAATATTATAATTATAAATATAACAAAATAAACCGAATTGATATTTGACAAGATTAAATGAATGAATCCAACAATAAGCCGCTCATTAGTTCTAACATCTCTTTTCTCTATTTTACTACTTTAATCACAATTCTTATAAAATAATTGATGATATTAATAACAAGGTTACTATAATATTAGTATTATCATAAGTATTAAATTTTATGATATTTTTTATCTTTTCACTTTATGATAAAATTGATATTGGAAAAATAATTTGATGAATTTAAAGTGAGTTTCATACTAAAAACACAAATTTATAATTAAAATAATTACATTAAACAAAATATTTTAAATATTAAATTAATTTATGATAAAAATAAAAGTTGCCCCGGCCATCGGCCGGGAAGAAAGCTAGTCTCCTTGAAGTTAGTTTGCCACAAAACAGGTATGGTTCATTCAGTGTAGCCAGGCCCAAGGTGAATTGGGCCAAATATGATTTTATGCAAACTGCCCACGGAAGAAAGTTGTGAAGTATTTGGACTTTGGAACGAAACATAATGGTTAGGTCCTCGGTATAACAAATATATATAACTATCGGCTAAATTATAGGTTTGGTCACTTAAATTATATAAATTTTTTACGTTTGTCATCCGAATTATTTTTCTTTCTTATTTGTCAGTAACTTTACGAATCATTTCATCGTTAGTCACCCACCGTTACACTCCGTTAAATTTGTCCTATGTGGTAGTCAAACTATTAAGTTTGACCGTTAACAAGATAACTTGGAAATTGAAATAAATTTATTTTTCCACCTCATCATTCCACCTTGTTACTATGATTTATCATATTAATTATTTATAAAAATTATCAAAGTAATGACGAGGTGCTATAAAAAGAGCAGTAAAAATTAACACACATGACTCTTCTCCCTCAATTCCGACACATCCTACTGCTGCTATTACTGCTCTCCGGCGCCTCATCCTCTTCCTTCCGACCGACCAACCGTTTTCCGCCGCCATTGTTGTATCATTGCCAATCGTCGTTGCTTCTGCAGCAGTACTGAGCGTCGTCCATCAGCGTTGTCGTGTCGTCCAGCGACTAGTAATGGTGGTGTTATCGGTCCTTTCCACAGCGAGGACTTGTTTCAAATTGGAACGGAAGGAAATTTTAAGTAATTTCACCTTTTCTTAATGCGCCCAATTCAGTTTCCCGATCTTGTCGATCTCGTCCTCTTTGGCCTTGAGCCGCTTCAACATTCCTTCCTCAATCACTATGATTATCCTCCTCGCTTGCATCTTCCTCTTATCTTCCAATTCCGCCCTCACTTTCTTCATCTCTTATAACCACACAAAAAATCCACAATCAGTCACCAATCAAGAAGAAGAAAAAAATTAAATCGAGTTACATGGTGAGAAATCCGGCGGTCGACGTCCGGTTGCTTCTGCAGGATCCGGAGGGAGAAATCGTGCCCTAGAAACTCCGTCGTTGCGGCCACGTTGGTATTGTTGTTCGACTGAGGTTTCCTTTTCTGTTCATACACCTCCCTGTTGGAAGGCCAACAAAAAGGGTAAATTACAAGGTTGGTCACTGAAAGTACTAAAAATTCACGTTTGGTCATTAAAAGTATTTTATTTCATTTGTAGTCACTAAAAGTGGTTAAACGTTGCACGTTTGGTCACTCTCTGTTAGTCTCCGTTAAGTTTAGCTGATGTGGCAGTCAATTCTGATAGTTGACCGTTAAATGAATGACGTGGCAATAAAAAAAATTAAAATTAAAAATTAAAATTTTATAATTTTCACAAATATTAAAAATATAATTCATTTTCTATCCCCCGCCGTCCACCTCCTCTGTCGGTACCCTTCTCTCCTCGACCTCCCTTTCACCACCGTTGCTCACCATACTTCCACCAGCGCCACCAACCTGCAGATAGTTCCCGCGGCGGACCAGCAACTACAGACTACGACGAGCAAAAAGCCGCCGCCCAAGTGAACCTCCACCATAGATCGACACATCAAAACCGACTAGTTAGACCTCTAATTAACCCATGCTCCACCATAGATCGACACATCAAAATCGACTAGTTAGAGCTCTAACAGAGTCAAACTCATGCTCTAGATGTCGGTGACGTATCCGTCGTAGTTCTTGCCGTACAAATCAAGATCGAATCGTTCGGGACGACTGTGGACGCCACCGCAAGCCATAAAAAATCCCATTACCGCCAAACAAAAATTTGGGCCAAATTATCGCAACTGTCACAGTAATTCCTCCAAAATTCCGTCAGCCCAAAGCTTTAGCTTTGTGCTGCTCCGATGGCCTCTCTTCTTCCTTATTCATCATGCTTCTCTCGGAGAGGATTGGCCTCTTCGTCGCCTCCTTGTCCACTCGGTTCTTCTAAGCCTTCGATTGGTCGAAATTCGGCGGTTCCGTCCCCGGTGGAGTCGCATTAGAGAAGAAGGCGTCGAGCGGAAGTCAAAGCGTCAGTAGGGTTCCTCCTGTTTGTAGAGCGTCGTCTTCTTCCTCCTCCGCCCTGTTTCGCGACTGAAAATCAAACCTCCGATTTCAGACATCCTCTCTTTAAACAGCTCACGACTGAAAATCAAACCTCCGATTCGATGAGTTTTTGGTTTTGAATTGCGAAATGTTCTGGAAGATTTTCACCGAAGAGAGAAAGGTGGAGAGCAGTGAGCAACGATAGATCTGCCATCACCGAAGAGAGAGAAGGATAGAAACCGATGACTGTGACGATTCTCCCAAACCTATTTCGGGATTACAGAAAATAGATTTTAAATTTTTAATAGTTTTTGAAAATGAAATGGAAATTGTAGAAGTTTAATTTTTAATTATTTTTTAATTGCCACGTCATTCTTTTAACGGTCAACTATCAGATTTGACTGCCACATCAGCTAAACTTAACGGAGACTAACGGAGAGTGACCAAACGTGAAACGCTTAACCACTTTTAGTGACTACAAATGGAATAAAACACTTTAAATGACCAAACTTGAATTTTTTAGTACTTCCAGTGACCAACACTTTAAAGACAAATCCAGGACGCAAATCCACACTAGAGAGTAGGGAAATAAAAAAACAAATAAAGATCCCCGAGAACAGGAACACGAGCCGTCTTCGACGGGTAGTTACCGGCTGGTGCCGTGGAGTTGGAGAGGGAAGATATTGAGATGCCTGACCTCTACCGCCATTACAGAGAGTAGAAGGAGAGTGCGATGGAGAGATGGAGAGCAGAGCAGTTGCGGCATATGAATGGTTTGGCGGTGGAAATCGTGCCCCAGAAACGAGATCGAAGTCGCTGTGGCCAAAGGAAGTGCCAGTGCAGGGAGACAACGACTGGTGAGAGAGGCGAGTGAGTAAGAAGGTGACGACGAAGAGGAGAAGAACACCGATCTGGTGGGTACAAACAAGTGCTCGAGCGACGAGGAAAGAGGAGGCCGTTCATTTTCTTAATTCAATTAAGGGTTAATAGCATTTTGTACCCTCTATTATGATAAATTAACAAATGTACCCC